AGGCCCTGCCAGACACCACATGATTTTTTTCATTAAGTATGTCACAAAAAAAGATGCCCGGGTGGGAGGGGGGGGGGGGGTATTCCCTCTTTGGAAAATATTTCATGAATGTGTGTGTATGTGTATGTGTAGAAGTGTGTGTATGTGTATGTGTAGAAGTGTGTGTATGTGTATGTGTAGAAGTGTGTGTATGTGTATGTGTAGAAGTGTGTGTATGTGTATGTGTAGAAGTGTGTGTATGTGTATGTGTAGAAGTGTGTGTATGTGTATGTGTAGAAGTGTGTGTATGTGTATGTGTAGAAGTGTGTGTATGTGTATGTGTAGAAGTGTGTGTATGTGTATGTGTAGAAGTGTGTGTATGTGTATGTGTAGAAGTGTGTGTATGTGTATGTGTAGAAGTGTGTGTATGTGTATGTGTAGAAGTGTGTGTATGTGTATGTGTAGAAGTGTGTGTATGTGTATGTGTAGAAGTGTGTGTATGTGTATGTGTAGAAGTGTGTGTATGTGTATGTGTAGAAGTGTGTGTATGTGTATGTGTAGAAGTGTGTGTATGTGTATGTGTGTGAAACCCTGCTTCATATATTATGTTCTGCCTCACCATTCAGCAAGCCTTCCCAAACTCCAATGTTTCCAAAATCGAAATCGATGCTATTATAGTACACATTTATTCCCTTCACGAATTTCGCGTTTTGCCATGAGGTTCATTTCTGCCCAAAATACTTATATAGTAAGAGGTAGAAGGCCCTGCCAGACACCACATGATTTTTTTTCATTAAGTATGTCACAAAAAAAGATGCCCGGGTGGGAGGGGGGGGGGGGGTATTCCCTCTTTGGAAAATATTTCATGAATGTGTGTGTATGTGTATGTGTAGAAGTGTGTGTATGTGTATGTGTAGAAGTGTGTGTATGTGTATGTGTAGAAGTGTGTGTGTGTGTATGTGTAGTAGTGTGTGTATGTGTATGTGTAGAAGTGTGTGTGTGTGTGTGTGTAGTAGTGTGTGTATGTGTATGTGTAGAAGTGTGTGTATGTGTGTGTGTATGTATGTGTATGTGTGTGAAACCCTGCTTCATATATTATGTTCTGTCTCACCATTCAGCAACCTTTCCCATACTCCAATGTTTCCAAAATCGAAATCGATGCTATTATAGTACACATTTATTCCCTTCTCGAATTTCGCGTCTTGCCATGAGGTTCATTTCTGCCCAACATACTTATATAGTACGAGGTAGAAGGCCCTGCCAGACACCACATGATTTTTTTTCATTAAGTATGTCACAAAAAAAGATGCCCGGGTGGGGAGGGGGGGGGGGTATTCCCTCTTTGGAAAATATTTCATGAATGTGTGTGTATGTGATAGATAAGATAGACAGTTGGATCCTCTGTGCGTGAGTGTGTGTAGAAAGATAGATAAATATTACGTATGTCTGTTTGTATATATATATAGATGTGTATATATATAAGCGTCATGTATGTATTTATGTATTAATAGATAGATAGATAAACAGATATACGTCGTCTGTTTGTATAGTTCATACACGCGAATGTAAGCTTTGAAACAAATTAGACAAAAACCTTGCATTTATTACATATCTTCAACATTATTCTTAAATATGTATATATTAAAATAATGATAATAGTAATAATGATAATGATTATGATAATGATAATAATTATATCAGTAATAATATCAATTATAATTATGATAATGATAATAATGACTCTTCATGCAGGTATTTCCTAAAATTAGTGATCGTCTTGTCCATGACTTTCGTTGTTTTTTGTTATTTATTTGTTGTTATATTTTAACATCTTATGTCTGTTGTTGTAGTTGTTATTGTCTTTGTTTGTTGGTTGATTCGTTCATCTTTTTGTTTTATTGCTGAAAACATCGTTATTCTTAGCATTTCCGTCTGTTAATATTAGTATTACTTTTATTTTTTATGTTGCGTTGTTATTATCATTATTATCTTTATCATTGTCATGTTCACTATTAATGCCATTATTATCGTTTTATTATTGTCATCTTTATTGTTATTATTATTGTTATCATTATCATTTTTGTTATTATCGTTATTATTATTATTATTATTATTATTATTATTACTATTATTATTGTTATCATCGATATCATTATTATCACTATTTTTATTATTGTTATTATTATCATTATTATTATTATTATTATTACCATTACCATTATTATCATTGTTGCTATCATGAACATGGTATTATCATTATTATTATTAACATGATTATTATCGTTATGATTATTACTGTTATTACTATTATTATTATTTCTATTATCATTATTGACATTATTATTATAATGAATATTATTATTATCATAATTATTATTGTTAATAATATCATCATCATCATTACTACCCACTGTTGTTATTTCCATCATTGGTATTGTTATTTTTATCATTATTATTATTGTTCCTGTTATTATTGTTATATCATTGGTATATTATTGTTATTATTACGTGTATTAGTATTATCACTTTTAATATCATTACCATTATCAGTAGTAGCAGTAGTAGTAGTAGTAGTAGTAGTAGCAATAGTAATAGTAGTAGTAGTAATACTAGTAGTAGTAGTAGTAGTAGTAGTAGTAACATAAGTAGTATTTGAAATAGTACCATTATCATTAGCATTATTATCATAATCATCTCTATCGTCATTTTGGTTGTTATTATAACCATTATCATTAGTGTCATTATCAGAACAATTATTATCATTCCTTTTATTTCTCTCATTATGCCTTCATTGACTTCCACATTGCTTTGATTAGAATATTATCACCATTATCATAATTATTATCAATATACTAATCACATTCATCATCATTAGCATTTTACCTGCTTAATACATTGTTCTTATTCAATAATTAGCTCGTTTAATTTACAAAGATTAGAATGCGAAACTTTTTATTCACTTTGTTAATTATTAGTATATAATACACATGTCCAGCATGACTATATCGATGTTTTACTTCATCTAAGTCACATAATTTGCATAATGCGTCCTTGGACTGATATATATACTGCATATATTTGTACTCGTGTATATAAGTGTGTGTGTGTGTGTGTGTGTGTGTGTGTGTGTGTGTGTGTGTGTGTGTATGTATGTATGTTTATATATATATATATATATATATATATATATATATATATATATATATATATACATATACATTTATATACAGCATATATTCAGTTTATGGCATGTTTTTCATTGCATATTTTGATAACTGATTTTCTCTTTTTTAAAAATCGAAGTCTGGATCTTTTTTACACTTAATCGTGATTATTTTTTTGCGCATCCACTTCACCTTCAGCATATTGGTGCAACGAAATTCATCATTTTATCAATTTTGAGATGAAAAGTATATTGAATATTGAATATATATAGTTTATTGAATTTATTCAATATCATGTTAGCTTGATAAAGCTAAGGCTAATGGACATGAATGATTAACTATTAATAGATTAAATAGATTTTTTAAAATTATTTTTTACATTTGTCTTGCTTATGTATTTAGTCATTTAATTACTTATTATTTATTTCATGGTTCATCTTCTAAAGAAAAAAATCTTTTGCATTTTGTCTTTAAATTGAATTGATATGTTGCATAGAAAATCTCATCACCCTGGAGAAAGTATATTACCATGAGTTTATTATTTTCCAGAAATCTTTCCTCTTCCTTATGAGAAATAGATATATATAAGACAAAAATAAATGAACAATAAAAAAATAAAAAAAAATATTAAAATTTATTATATTCTCTTTTTCTCACTTGAACACTTTTCTCTGATTTATTTCTCTTAATCATATATACAATTCCGTGTACCTTTCCTGCCGTTCTTCCCTCAGTTGTTCTATTTACAACATCCATACAACATACACTCTTCCCGTACATGCACACCTCATCCTACCCTCACTACATGCCTCCTTAGATGCCTCATATATACCTCCGTCCTTGCCTCCCTACATACCTCATACTTACCTCCGTCCTTACCTTCCCTCCGTCCTTACCTCTTTCCCTCCGTCCTTGCCTGATGACATGCCCCTACCCTTCCCTCTGTCCTTACCCCATACTTACCTCCGTCATTACCTCCTTCCCTCCGTCCTTGCCTCATACCTCTCCCCTTCCCTCCGTCCTTACCCCATACTTCCCTCCGTCCTGGCCTGCCACACACCGCCGTCCTGACCTCCTCCCTTCCTTGCAGGTGGCTCAAGGGCCCCGAGGACACCCAGTGCACCGACATCCACTACCGGTCGTTAACAGGCGAAGGCAATTTCAACTGGAGGTTCGTCTACCCCTTCGAGTACCTTGTGGCCGAGGAGAAGATCGTCATCAGTCGCAAGGAGTCGCTGTTTTCGTGGGACGAGACGGAGTGCAAGATCCCGGCGAGGCTGGAGTTGCAGGTGAGGGGGGAGAGGGAGAGGAATAATGGGAGGGGAAAGGGAAGGGAGAGAGAGAATAAGAGAGAGAGAGAGAGAGAGAGAGAGAGAGAGAGAGAGAGAGAGAGGGAGATGGATAAAATAGAGAAAGGAGAAAGAAAGAGAGAGAAAAAAAGTTCCTGTAGGAGTTACAGATAAAAGGATGAAAACAAGGAAAGGGTGTTTAGAATGAGGAGACATAAGAATAATGATAATGATTCTAGTGTTAATGATAATAATGATAAAAGTAATAATAGTAATAATACTTTATTCTAATGATACTGATAGCATTATTACTGCAACCACTACTACTACTATAACTATTGCTATGACTACAATTACAACTGCTACAATTACCGTTGCTGTTATGATAACGATAGGAAAGTAAAACCACACGAACGCTACCCTACCCCCTACCCCCTCCCCCAACCCACCCATCCACATCCCAATCCATCCATCCCACCTCCTCCCTCAGGTCTGGGACGCCGACCACTTCTCCGCCGACGACTTCCTGGGCGCCATCACCCTGGACCTGAACCGCTTCCCCCGCGGCGCCAAGAACTCCAAGCTGTGCACGCTGGACATGCTCAAGACAGACGGTTCGGTCCCGATGGTGAACATCTTCAAGCAGAGGAGAGTGAAGGGCTGGTGGCCCTTCTACATCAAGAAGGAGAACGAGGAGATGGAGCTCACGGTGGGGTCGACGTGCGGTGTTGGGCTGTTGTGATGCTGTGGTGTGATGTGATGTTATGATGGTGTGGAGTTGTGATGTGATATGTGATGTTATGGTGTGTTGTAATGTTATGTGATGTGATATTATGATGCTGTAGTGCTGCGATTCTGTGACGTTATGATGTCATGATGTGATGTTATGATGTCATGATTTGACGTAATGATGTGATGTTATGATGTCATGATGTGATGTTATGCTGTGACGTGGTGATGTGATGCTGTAAAAGTATACTTCGAGTCAGTCTCAATCTTTGGGGTGAGGTGTGTTTCGCGGTCTGCTTAGGTAAGGGAGTGTCCTGTGTTAGGTATGCTGTTGTGTTGTTATGTGCTGTGTCATATGACTCTCCTACATCATAATTTCGCGTTCCACTCTGTCATCCAGTAATATATTGCGCAATGCTTCCGTGTGGTTCCTGCTTGCATGATACTGCGTCATGCGATGCTTTCATGAGATGGTTGGCCGCTTGCCATAATGACCGGATGTGTAGCAAGCATTTTTTAAAACGTTTTTTCACTATTGAAGTATTTTACTGCGCTTTTATTAGTTTTCATTTATAATATGATGGCATTTTTATGAACCATTGCATATTTGCCTTTTCGGTTTAGAATTAATAATATACTTGATAAAACAATATTGTATTTTCCTGAATAAACATTAAAGTATGCTCCGTCTAATCTCAGAAAAAATATAAAAAACGGCAACTCAACTCAACTCAAAGTGATGTAAAGCAATAAGAAAAAAATATTGTATAGGAATTTCTAAAATACTAAGCTATTGTAAATGTAAATATTAAGTGGTAGAATTAAATGAAGTAGAATGGAATAAAATGAAAATAAAAAAGAGTTTGTGAATCGGAATGTCCCACCGTCCAGAGTGGGTTGCCACCTCGTTCTTTCTTGAAATTAATCTCGCTGGAAATCATTCAATAATACCTTCTTACGTATTTTTTTTATGCTTAAAGTACATTAAAAGTAGCATACATAAAACACTCTAAAATTGATGTACAATAACTTACTTACTCGACTTATATAAGACACTTAAATACTTAAATCGCACTTTAATGTATCTATCATAGTAATAACATACTTTAATTTAGTTTGTGATATCAGCAAATAACCGTACTTCAGGCAACTTCAGACCAAGGAATAAATCAAGATGAAAAATAAAATTGTCTTTGTCTCTTATTGCTGTTGTTGTTTTTTTGTTGCTGTTGTTTTCTTTTGTTGTTGTTATAATTATGAACATTTTACAGGGGAAGGTGGAAGCCGAGATTCACCTGCTGACGAAGGACGAGGCGGAGAAGAACCCGGCTGGACTCGGGCGCAACGAACCGGATCCTCTGGAGAAGCCGAAGTAAGATAATAAATTGATGGATTGATAAATAGAGGGGATAAAAAAAGGAAGAGAGGACGAGGGGGAGGAAGGAAGATGATGGGGGAGGGTGGTAGGGGGAAAGGGAGAAGAAAAGGGTGAGATGGGAGGGAGAGGAAGAGGGAAGAGAAAATGGGAAAATTAGAGGTTTTGGAGGGAAGGAGTTAGAGAGAGAGAGATAGATAGAGAGAGAGAGAGATAGAAAGAGAGGGGGGGGAGGGAGGGAAGGAGTTAGAAAGAGAGAGAGACAGAGAGAGAGAGAGAGAGAAGGGTAGGGGGGAGATAGAGCCTGATAGTTAGCAAGAGGTAAGGTAAAAAAAAAAAAAAAAAAAAAAAAAATCTGCCACGCCCCTTTGTACTAACCACGCCCCCCTTTTCTCCCCCCCCCCCCCACAGCCGCCCCGACGCCTCCTTCATGTGGTTCCTCAACCCCCTGAAGAGCATCAGATACATAATTTGGCACAACTACAAGTGGGCCATCATCAAGATTCTCGTTTTCTTTGCTCTGACCATTTTCTTCGTCCTCTTCTTCTACTCCGTTCCTGGCTTCACCGTCAAGAAGATTCTAGGGGCGTAAAGAAAACGGAGATTCTGGCAGCGTGAAGAAAACGGAGATTCTGGCAGCGTGAAGAAAACGGAGATTCTGGGAGCGTAAAGAAAACGGAGATTCTGGGAGCGGAAAGTAAACGGAGATTCTGAGAGTCTAAAGAAAATGGAGATTCTGGAAGCCTAAAGAAAACTGAAGTTCTGGGAGCCTAATGAAAACGCAGATTCTGGAAGCTTAAAGAATATGAAGATTCTGGGAGCATGAAGAAAAACGGAGATTCTGGGAGCTTAAAAAAAAACGGAGATTCTGGGAGCAAGAAAAAAAACGGAGATTCTGGGAGCCTAAAGAAAACGGAGATTCTTGGAGCCTAAGGAAAATGGGGATTCTGGGACCGTGAAGAAAACGGAGAATCTGAAACCTAAAGAAAACGGAGACTCTTGGAGCCTAAAGGAAACGGAGATTCTGGAAGCCTAAAGAAAACGGAGACTCTTGGAGCCTAAAGGAAACGGAGATTCTGGAGGTCTAAAGAAAACGGAGATTCTGGGACCGTGAAGAAAATGGAGATTCTGGAAGCCTAAATAAAACGGAGATTCTGGGAGCTTAAAGAAAACGGAGATTCTGGGACCGTGAAGAAAACGGAGATTCTAGAAGTCTAAAGAAAACGGAGATTCTTGGAGCCTAAAGAAAACGGAGATTCTGGGAGCCTAAAGAAAATGGAGATTCTGGGACCGTGAAGAAAACGAAGATTCTTAGAGCCTAAAGAAAACAGAGATTCTGGAAGCCTAAAGAAAACGGAGATTCTGGAAACCTAAAGAAAATGGAGATTCTGGAAACCTAAAGAAAATGGAGATTCTGGGACCGTGAAGAAAACGGAGATTCTGGGATCGTGAAGAAAACGGAGATTCTGGAAGCCTAAAGAAAACGGAGATTCTGGAAACCTAAAGAAAACGGAGATTCTGGGACCGTGAAGAAAACGGAGATTCTGGGACCGTGAAGAAAACGGAGATTCTGGGACCGTGAAGAAAACGGAGATTCTGGAAGCCTAAAGAAAACGGAGATTCTGGAAACCTAAAGAAAATGGAGATTCTGGGACCGTGAAGAAAATGGAGATTCTGGGATCGTGAAGAAAACGGAGATTCTGGAAGCCTAAAGAAAACGGAGATTCTGGAAACCTAAAGAAAACGGAGATTCTGGGACCGTGAAGAAGACGTAGGTGGAAGATGGAAGAAAAGGAGATTGACGGAACGAATGATGGAAGGAAGAGACGGACGATGAAAAGAAGGAAGGAGGACTGAAGGAACGATGAAAGAGAATGAAGGAGGACTGAAGGAACGATGAAAGAGAAGGACGGAAGATAGAAGAAACGATTGAAGGGAGGAATGAAGGAAGGAAGGACTGAAGACTGAAAGAACGATGGAAGAGAAGGAAGGAATTAAGAGAACCAGGGATGGAAAACTGAATGAACGATGGATGGAAAGACAGGAGAGAGGAAGAGAGAAAGAAAAAATATATATCACTTTCATTAAGTCCTAATTGATGTCGAACGATGGAATGGAGGAAAGGGAGGGAAAGGGAAGGAAGGGAAGGGAAGGGAAGAACCAGGAAGTCGCACGTGAGCATATTTTCCCCAAGGTAATAAGTTACATAACCCGGCTGTAGATGTTAGGTGTATTCCTCCTGTGTCAATAGCGGGAAAGTGTGTGTGTGCGTGCGTGTGTGGGTGTGTAAGATTATATTTTATATATGTATATCTCCTTCGTGTTCGTGCAAATATTTCTGTTCATAGTGAGGTGTACATACTTCTACGAGTATCTCAGTCGCCTTGGGTCACAGGACGAGGATGTAATAATACCTGATTGTAATTTCGAATGTTCTATGATATCCTGTGTGTGTGTGCGGAGCCATTATAGAGTGGCTATATTCTACTGTGTCCATAATTTCACTGTGTGATCAGACGAGTCAAAAGACTATAAAAAAAAAAGAATTGCAGAAAAGGATACAAATTATTTATATTTAAAATGAAGGACCAACATTTCCATTTATGAGCTTACTGCACCTTTTTACATCGCATTACCTTACTGCACCGAAGCATGTTTAAACTTGACTGGTCGGAGATGGACGAGGGGCCCGCATGCAAAGGGGCCTCCTGCTTGCCATGGCTTATCTTATCTTATCGTGGGTTTTTTGGCCTTCTCTCTCGAGCTCTCTCCCCCTTTTCATCTTCTTCGTTTTCTGGTTTATCAAGGGGTTTTCTCTTTTTCACTTTTCTCTACATGTTTTTTTTCGAACTTAGTATTCAGTCTCTCTCTCTCTCTCTCTCTCTCTCTCTCTCTCTCTCTCTCTCTCTCTCTCTCTCTCTCTCTCTCTCTCTCTCTCTCTCTCTCTCTCTCATGTGCTTATAATTTAAACCTTCACTTAGACATACTTATAACCTTACTCACTATTAAGTCATAACTATATTTTTCATCCTCACTTAGACATATAAATACTCTCTTGTGTGCACTTAACAGTATCAAGGTCTCTACTTTTAATATTATAGAAAAAAATGAACTCAAATAACAAATCATGTGTCCGTGTTACCATTCAGTCATTAGGTTGTGATAACATAGACAATATAGAAAAAATATATATATATATAATTTCCCTTTTCCAGAACTTTGAGTGATAATGAAGGTATTTTTGTAAAGATGGTTTTGCTGGTGATATATTTACTGTCATATATATTTACCATATTTTCTGGTTTCTTAAGCAAGCTGATGCATAAGCTTGAAACACATTCAGTTCAACTCTACTGTTATATTCTGATGTAGAATTAGGAACCATGTCTTGTAATAGATAAAACAATGTTTATATACTGCAGTAACAAATTCTCGAGTGTTTCACTTTACCATTATTATTGGTCTTATTACTATTATTATTGTTACTATTTTTATTGTCATTATTATTATTATCATTATTATTATTATTATTATTATTATTATCCTTATAAGATATTATTATTATTATTATTCTCATTATAAGATATTATTATTATTATCAACATCATCATTATCATCATTATTATTATTACCAATATTATTGTTATTACTATTACCATCGTTATCATCATCATTATTGTTATTATTATTATTATTATTATTATTATTATTATTATTGTTATTGTTATTATTATTACTACTATTATTGCTATTCTTATTGTAACTATATTTTTTGTTGCTGTTGTTGCTATTGTTATTATTAACGTTATTATTATAATTATCATTATTATTATAAATATTATCATTATTTATATTATTATTATCATCATTATTATTATCATTATCATTATTAGGAATGTTATTCTAAGCAAGATTATCATTATCAAAATTGATGTTATTATCATGCTATTGTCATCACTATTATTATTGATATGATTGTTAGATGTCATAATAATTATTGATATCATTAGCATTAATTTTTACCATAACTGTCATCATTACTACTTACATTTTCATTATCTTCATCTTTCTATTTCAAAGTCTAGAATTCCGTTCACAAGGTCACACACCATGTAGCTGTACACTTAATAACATTATCTTTGACTTGTGTAAATAGCGCCTTGTTTAATTGTGAATGTGTGTGTGTGTGTGTGCGAGTGTGTGTGTGTGTGTGTGTGTGTGTGTGTGTGTGTGTGTGTGTGTGTGTGTGTGTGTGTGTGTGTGTGTGTGTATATATATATATATATATATATATATATATATATATATATATATATATATATATATATATGTTTATACATATGAATATATGCATGTATATATGTATATATATATACATATGTATCCATGTATATATGCATATATGAGTGCGGTAACAAAAGAGAGTGACCTTGTGTTTTCTATATATATACAAATATACATATATATCTTGTTAGGCATTAACGTCAGTGTGTATAAACTTATGTGTGGATGGCAACTCTATTTAACTTACATATCGAAATATACTCTTTAAGTAACTACAAAGATAAAGAAAGAAAAAGAACCATAAGGTGTCAAAACCTTAATAACAGATTCTCCGTTATCAACATTTCCTATCTTGATGTGTTGACGTATTTTTTTCCTCTCGGTCGAAGAGGTGGCCGAAATCGAGGGATTTTTTGAGTGTGAGCTTTTTGACATGGTGATGATGGTGGTGTCATCTTCAGACGGAAAATATAGGTGAAATTAAGAGTACGTAGAGATAAATGAATAGACAGAGACGATAGATAAGTGGGTAAGATGTAGGATGAACTTGTAGAATGGTTGATGAGTGTAATGTTAAAGTTATTAATGAATTTTATTACTGTTATTACATAATAATATAAGTACTGATAAAAAGTAATCTAGGTTTAAAAAAAGACGAGAAGTATAAATAAAACAAGGCTAATAGAAGTATAGTCACTTTAGAAACCATGCAAAATAAATTATATAGTCATCACTAAACTATTACAGTGTAAGATTTGATCGGCTGCGGTACTGAGGCAAGTATATGTACTAAAAATAGAGTCATGGAGAAACAGGCATTGTTTGCTCTGCGTCTTGGGGTCAACAGCATAATGCAGGTAGAACACTTGATTGATTTTTGTTGTTTTTCTTGCAGTAATGACCGATAGACAAAATCACCTTTGTAGACAGTTTTAGTGATTGATAAAACGCGATTTTAATATAAACGTAGATATATGATATGAATAGAAGAAGAATAAAGCAAATTCAAGCATTATAATTCATCCTTTGAAACGTACAATTATCACTTGTCAAACAGCTGCCTCGCATTTTCCTTAACGTACGTCATGGAGTCGTCCAACAGGTTGCAATCGCCTTGCTTGAAATCTGACGACCCATGTCCATCAGAACTATTGCATGAGCCCAAATCTAACCAAGATTTTTCATATTCACGTCACTTTCTTGCCAGATTTCTGCACTGTTTTTATCCTGCACAATTTTTCATGTCTTCACTGGATATACTTTTTTTTCCGTTTTTGTTTCATGATACCAATCCGTGTGACCAATTTCAGGTTCCAACTCATCCTCGTGGCAAAAAAGGGACATAGCTAAAAAGAAAATAAATGAAAGGGAAAGAAAACTAGTCGAATTATGATGGTGAGAAAAGGTTGTTTTTTTTATCAACATAAGATCACATTCGAGATTTTATTAAAGGGAAAAATAAACTCTGTCGTGCCTTATAAGAACTGCACATTCGTAAATATACAAAGATGATTTGGAAAATTTTGCAGGTCTTATAAACTCGAGGAAAAGCGAACCTGAACATCAACATGGATCTTTCCAAAGCTCGCTACAGTGTACCAAACAATTATATTTTCTCTCTCCTTTTTCCTCCTAGAATAGATGCAAGTTGTATATATTGTAAATAATTCTTATGTATAC